AGAAAAATAATCCTGACATCTTCGTCATGCAAGCGCAGAAACTATGAGTAATCTGCGATTGAAGAATTCATATAATGTACAGGTTATCCTAAAATTATTGAAGTTCCTATGGATATTGTAGAAAAAAATGCTTTCAATTTTAAGAAAAAGGGATATGAGCACTTTAAAGCCAGAGACATATTTTTCGACAACATCAGCAGAGGAACCTATTGGGATACCCTGTATGTTTCCTTCAAGACAACAAAGTTCTTTTTTCATCATGCTGGATTACTATGCAAAAGTTGCTAATATATCCTTGCTTGTCTATGCAAATAATTTTTATAATACTTTCCGCAAGATTTGATAGTGTTTATGATTCGATGCTACTCGACAAGCTAATCCTGAATATCGTCTTACTTTTGCATCTAAATGTTGTCGTTTTTTTTTATTAAAAAATCACAGATATGAAGTCGGAAACCTCAGTATTTGATAGACTCGTAGCGCCGAATCATTTCATCAGTGGAAAATGGTGCTCTGATCAGTAATGAATCAGAACGGAAAGAATAACTAACGAAAGTTAAAGACCAATTAACTATAATAAAAATCTTGTTCACATATCATCTTAGTTGTGTGACAATGTATCATCATATTTACATAATCAGTGATTTCAGTTTAGCAACGTGATTTGTTGAGAGCTTCAGAACTCAGTGTGTGCTTATTGATATGAGATGACGCTATGGGCGAAGATGAATTGTATATGGACAAATGATTTGTGAAAACTTACCATGAAAATGAATCAAAACTCTTTTTTGTACTGTCCACAAAATATGATATGATCGATTTTCGGACCTACTCTATATCCGGTAATCAATTTTTTTCTTTCGAATTTATGATTTAATCAAAATAAACTTGTTACCCCATGAAAACTATGAACTGATCAGTTATTTTTCAATTTTCTTCTCTTAAAAAAATCCCATTTAGATGATCATAGAAGGCATTTCCGTGTAAATACATATTTGTCAGTACAGAGTTCCAATACGAGCTGCCGTAATAAAGGAATGAGTTGCTAGAAATTGTATTTTAGCGTAAGAGTGACTAATCATAAACATGATCATTTCATTATTAAAACTTTAAAAGAGAAAACTTTCAATCATGTCGCTAAGGTCAATCACTATGCAATTGTTGCATGCAAGTTCATATAGGAAGCATAGTGGACAACCAGGCGACAAAATCGATTTGTCAGATCTGAACTTATATCGTAGCTAGCATTAAAGCTACTATGGTCCTGCATTTAGCTGCGTCCTGGATTCTGATTACAAGCGAGTGGGTGTCTTACAGCAGCTATTACAAAGTAGATAAAATAGGTGAATATCATTGATAGGATCTTAGAAGTAAAGTATATGTGTCCAATTAAAGATCTAATCATATCCATTAAACGGGGCGTGAATGTGGATTTGGGGTGTGGGATGTCGGTGTCAATGTGGGTGGATTTCGAGAATAGTAGAGTGACAATCTACACCTCACACCCGCACACCCAGCCACACCCTACATGGCGCCCATTATATGTAGAATAGAATAGAAAAGAGAATGTCATACATAATTCTTCGCTGTGATCGATTTTTTTCTCTTTTTCCAGCTTGTGAATAAGAAAAGTGATGAAGCAAATCAACACAAAACTTGCTCTCTGTAAGTGTATGAATGAAAAAAAGTGTTGCTTTTCGCAACGATGGCGGCAGCATAAAATATGGTCACGTTTTCCAGAGAAAGAATGTGAAGAATTCTTTTTTAAAGTTTTCATTCATGAAATAGGGAATTGCTTTTTCGTTTGTAACTCTTCCTTGCGCTTTTTTCATCTAGCTAAAATAAGGAGTGGGGAAACTGTTTTGGGTGTGGGTGTGTGACTGTGAATGAAGAACACAGATACACCCTCACCCACGCTGACACCCATACCCACCCTCTGGACGTATGCAATTGGATCCAAGGAAGTGGAGAGAATGTTTAGTGCGTTACGATGAATTAAATCTTGGCTGCGAAACCGGCTAAGCAACTCGTCACTTGAAATGCTTTTAAAAGCATTTTGTTTTAATGTTCAACTAATGCAAGAAACAATCAATTTCATCATCGAAGATGGCGTTCGCAATCCTGGCAGAGCCAAATCAAGAAATATAACATTATTTTTTGTAAATGGCAAAGAGGAGTCGACAGACTATGGCGTGTGCTAGGAGACAGTTCTTCATGTTGTTTTGATACCTGTGTCTTGTGCTTATAATTATGCTAATTGATGACAAAATAAATATGAAAAGGAATATCATTTTGAAGTTGGCTGGTGTTTTTTAGTTCTGCTTTCTGCCAAAATCTTAGCCTCCATCGTCTTGAAAAACAATCGAGAACCATAGTCTCCTGCATGTTTGATATGTAACAGAACAAACAAGAAAAAGATAAATAACTACAGTAGTCATTTCTTGCATTCGTACTTCTATCACAAGCGTCTGCTGCCCAATTTTGATATTAATACAATCTTCGCACGTGTTATCTTTCACACCTACAAACACATCTCTATTTTATCTTAGATATAGCGAGAGAATAATTTTCAAGAGCATCAACCAAGTTGAGGGTAGAAATTCGTTTTTAGATATGCCGTTTCGAGACCATTGGCGTGACGTCAAAACTCTACATAACGACGGAATTCCAATCGATACGACAAGCGATGAAACAGCAAAATTGTTTGATGCAACACTGACGCAATATATTGGCTGGTGAGTTGGTCACGAGGATTGCTTTTGCCTGCTCGACTATATTCTTTCTTTCGTTAGGTATAGTGACAAGCAATTGGGTGGTATCAAACCCAGTCTATCTCGTCTTCTCGCCTCTGATCCAAATTGCGCCAGCAGTCGTATTCTAGCTGCTGCTCTTGGAATGTTCTCAATGCCTCGTCCATCTGCATTGGCTCATGCCCAAGTTGTTGAAACACTCGGTGATACAACAATTTCGTCGAATCGCTACATTAGTCTTCATACACAGGCTCTCATAGATTGGTCCCTCGGCTATCGAGCACGCGCTACTGACACATGGGAAACTATCCTTCTCAGTTATCCCTTTGATATCATGACTTTGAGATTTGTACTCGACACCTCTTTTCATCTTGGCAACCAAAATATGCTTCGAGATTCAGTTGCACGAGTATTACCCATTTGGGAATCGTCATCGCCACATCGTCCACTTAAATCACATTTGTACGGAATGTATGCATTTGGTTTAGCCGAAACAAATATGGTATTACGAGCAGAAAAACAAGCTCGAGTTGGATTAGAACTCAATGAACATGATGCATGGGCCACACATGCACTGGTACATGCTACAGAGTATATGGGTCGAACATCGGAAGGAATAGACTTTTTGGAGAAAACTGACAACCATTGGCATGAATGCGATATAATCGCATCACATATCGATTGGCATTGGGCACTATATGAATTGGAGCAAGACAATTGGGAGAAGGCGGAAGAAATCCTTCAGCGTTGCATTTTGAACAACAATGGAAAAGAATTGAGCCGATTAAAATATACTGATGCTGCTTCGTTGATCTATCGTCTCAAACTGGCTGGACATCCATGCCCATCACAATCGAATTCTCAATTGAAACAATTTCTCGATGTTCATTTGCGTGATCATCAAACACTTTTCAACGATGTTCATCACTGCTTCGTCTTGGATAATTTTGCTGATACCGAGACGAAAAAAGACTTTCTTCGTTCACTCAAAGAAACAGTCGAATCATCCGATACGGATATTGGGAAATCTTATCGTGAAATCGGTCCACGCATCTTTGCCGCACTTGAGCGTTTTGACGAAGGAGACTATGCTCAGGTAGTGGAACTTTTGTATCCCATTCGAAACCGAACTAATATTGCTGGCGGATCGAATGCACAACGAGATATTTTCACTTTGTTACTGATCCATTCGGCAGTATATTCGAATAATAATCAACATCAACAATTAGCCAAACGGTTAATCAATGAAAGGTGCCAAATGCGCGGGTCAACGAAATCCAGAATGATGGAAAACTATGTAAATGCAATGCTGACGAACTGATTTTTTAAAACTTTCGTGGTCTTAATAAAAAGTATATCTCGTAAGAAGAGGAAGTTCATCGAATGGAAGAGATCAGCTATTTAAGCTGTTGAATGTTACTAGAGTTGCAATTCGTATAATTCTTTTGTAGTCATCTACTTGGATTACCATGCAATATGAAGAATGTAATCCAAAGGGTAGGACGTCTTCCATACTGTGCATTCTCTCATTATTTAACCACAGGCATCCTTTTTGAATCGAAATTTGGAAAAAAGCTAGCTAGTCTTCAAATACAAGAATAAAGTGAACGGATACTGTTCAACAAATCTCGAAGATACTTACATACTAAGCAAAAATGAGTATTCCTTCGACGCTATTCAACGAAAGATTTTTTGTGAGGGACGCACAATATTCCCTAAAAGAGGGGAATTGTACCATTTGCAGCAGAAATGCTTCCTTAAAACAACAGGAATCGTAATTTTAATCCATTTGTGTCAG